CCCGACCGCATTGTCTAAATGAACTGACCACACTATGGTAGTGCTGAATCCATACACTGGGACAGAAGGGTATAGATCAAGCCTTTAAAACAAGGGTGAGTGGGAGGCAACTGCTTCAGGCTGCAAGTTTGTGTGGAGGGTCACAGAAGGTTAGCAATTTGTGCATGAGTTGATCTGTTTCTGTTGTACTTTTACTGCTGAGCATGAAGAGGGGTACTCAAAGAATGTTCTTCCTTTAATGCCCAATATCCTTTGTTTGGCACTGAGCATTATGCACCTTGACCTGAGTAACTGGAGTGCCAATTATGACTCCATGTCAGACAACAAAAAGTCAGATCTGCATTATGCATCCTGAACACTGAGGGCTGCAATAGAATGATAAACACATTTTTGTCATGCTGACTAGACCATCAGAATGACCTGCGTGTATGAACAAGCTACCATAGATTAAACATCAGACAGAAATTACTTATCATTCTACACCACTAGACAACTAAAAAGGAGAGATGAGGAACACGGCTACAACTCCCATCATCCCTCCACAGTGGATTTACTCCGGCCAATGGGAGTAGCAATCCACCATGTTCCCCATCTCTGGTGCAAAAGGGCAGCTGTCAATCATCAAATGTTAAGCTATTAAGAGAAATACACAAAAGGCACAGTAAACCAAAATAGTTGCCACCTTCCTCATTCTGCTAGGGACTATCAAAGGAAATTTAGGTCCTTGTAGCCAACGCCATTCTATCCTTAGCTACCAATACATAACCAATGGAGTCTCCCCCTGCCTCCAGAATACATTTACAACCCAAATTGGACAGACATGCAGTACAGTGCCATTCATTTCTTCTCTCAAGATTTTACATCATCCCTTTGAAGAGTTCTCTTCCACAAGAAGATAATTCCACAGCTGAGGAGCCACTAGGGAGACCTTTCACCCTTGCACAGTTCTTCTGCTCACAGACAATGATGCTGTGACATTGCTCAGTCTGGACTCGAAAGAACATTTCTGTATATAGGCATTGAAGGATATCACACTATTTAGGCACACATCTGAATGTCAGCAGGACACAATAAAATAGAGACGGGAGCCACTGGAAAAGAATAACAGAGTTTTTTTAAAAAAAAAACTAAGTACACTCTTCAGATCCTGTAGGTTTTACACCAGCATTGCACACATGTGAAGTGCCAAAGACAATTTAAGCCTTGTGCAGGAAAATGCCTTTAGGTCCTTGACCTGGGTGAAGACAGACAGGTTGCACCAAAGCGATAGGAAGCTACTATTTTGAGCAGAAAGATGTGACATTCTTTTCTCTCCCTCTGGTGCCCAGTCCTTCCACTGTGAAACTAATATCTTAGCACTAACTTAATTCAAGTCAGGTGCAGGTGGTGAAGGACTCAGAGTGTTTGCTTTAAATGGATAAGGCCACCACAGCCTATAGAGATGTATTCTTTTGAATTTATATGTTCACAGGTAATACCAGATTGTCTTCTTCAAAAGGGGGCTGGCAAAAAAAAATCCCACCTAACTTGTTCCAATTGATGTTTGCTCTAACATTTACAGATTCTTGCACACACATTTACACACACAGAGAGAGAGAGAGAGACACAGGATCTACAGAATGGCTTGCGTACAGATTCTTGCACACACATTTACACACAGAGAGAGACACACACAGCATCTACAGAATGGTTTGCCCAGTCTATAGTTTTTGTTTGCTTAGTAGTCCAGCCCTTCCTTTCTGGTTCGGGGAGCATCCTTCTTCCAGCCCTATATTTGGACAGGTGGATGGATGTCTTCAGTGGCATTGATTCTACATCATCTTTCCCATCCTCTTCACTGAAATGTGCTAGATTCCTGACACTCACGTATCTTTCTCCCCTTCATTTTTCTGCAACAAACAGCCCCTTTTATAACTCACTTTCCAGGGGCTGAATATTCGTCATGCTGAACAATGGCATCCATAGCATTTAATCCACACTTTTAAGAACCCAGCCACAATGTTTAGCTTCAGACTATAGTGACATGTATGGGTGCAAAAGTTAGACAGTAAAGGGAGCCGACAGGAAAAAATTGATTCATTTGAAATGTGATGCTGGAGGAGAGCTTTGCAGATTCCTTGGACTGCCAGAAAGACAAACAAGTGGGTTTTAAATCAAATCAAGTTTGAACTATCTCTGGAGGCAAAAATGTTGAAGTGGAGGTGGAGGCTGCCTCATTTTGGGCACAAAATGAGAACGCTGGATTCTCCAGAAAAGACAATGATGCTGAGAAAGGTGGGAGGTGGGAGGAAAAGAAAATATGAGATGGACTGAGTCCCTAAAGGAAGTCACAGGCTTGTGTTTACAAGACCTGAGCAGGGCAGATATGGACAGGACATTTTGGAGATGGCTCATTCATAGGCTGCCATATGTTGGAAACGACTTGGTGGCATGTAACAACAATAATTATTTCCCCTAAAATAAGACGTAACCTGAAAATAAGCCCTAGTATGATTTTTCAGGATGCTCGTAATATAAGCCCTACCCCCAAAATAAGCCCCAGTTAAGTGACAGCCTGCCCTCCACCACTGTGAAGCAACCAGAAGATGACATGACTGCATTTGAATCAATATAGATGGTTGTACATGGGGGGGGAAAATAAAACACCCTCTGGAAATCTAAATGTGTTTTTTGGAGCAAAAATTAATATAAGACCCTGTCTTATTTTGGGGAAAACGTGGTAGTGACATTTTAGGAATGTGCACCATTTGGAAGCACAGACAAAGGCACATAAACGGTCAGGTCAACCTTTCTCATGCACTTCTTTACAGACTGGTCTCGCCTGCTACACCATTAAGTCACAATACCTTGGAGAGACCTAGGCACACATTCCAATCCAGCCACATTCAAAAATACCAATCCATTCTTAGCAAAGCTATTATAGCAAGCCATTCAATCCTTATCACTTCCCCACCCCTCTAAAGCTTCCAGTCCAATCCTGAACAACACAAACCTGCTATACCCCTTCTGCTGTCCTCCTCACCCTTCAGACCGAGGAAGCTCTTTGTACACCAACACACAAACAGTGTGCATGTGTCTTAAGAAGCAGACTGGCAATGCTATGATCTGTTCAGAAGCTACAAAATAATCAGCATGAAATCCTGCCAGGTGTAACTCTAAGGGCTCCCCTGCTGTGGTCACAAGTCACCTAGAGAGCCTTCTGAGGTTCTAGATGGGCACAGATTCTAAGAGATTCCTCCTGTTAAAGGCACAGAAATTTTCTAAACGGTTACAAAGATAAGATGCAGGGAAGACACATAAAGCACACAATGAGAGAGCAAGCGTTTCTCCTTTAAGAATGGAAGAAAGTTTTCTGTTAGCTGAGAAATCTACTCAGACAAGCATGAAAAGGATGGAAGTCAGAAGGGGAAGAGATGAGCTTTCTCTTGCTCCAGATTTGAACGTAAATAGAGTAATCAAGCCAAATTAACTCTTGTGTGGGTGTTGGGGGAAACTACCGCATGTTGTGTTGGAAGTGGACGAGGTCAGACTCTGCCTCCTTTGAGATCTTGGCAGAAGTTTGCACTATTTAGGCAACTAGGCTTGGAAACCTTACACAGGAATCTCCACTCCCAGGGTCTCAGCCTGGCGAGAGGGTGAAGCGTAAATGCCCCCAGTTGCAGCAGAGGGGCAAATCTGGACACATGCACTGCCTTTGGCCTCAGCCCCAGTTTGGCTCCCTTTCCATTGAAGAAAGGGAGGCAAGAAAGGAGAGGGAGTCACCCAGCTCAGTAGAGAGGAGGTACGTGGAGGCAGGGCGACGACGGCAAAAGGAAGGCAAAGGGATGCTTTCCCACCTCCCGCATCCCAAGCCGTCTAAAGACTTGGAGGTCTCGGGAGAGAAGGAACAAGAGAGGCACTTAGAAAGAGAGAGGAGAGAACCGCGCTCCGGGTGGAGTCAGCTGGGAAGAGAGAAAGAGGATCGGTTCCAAAGGCTCGGGGATAGTTTGGGAAGAGAAAGAGAGTCGAGCAGTCAAAGAGGCGGGGAAGTCGGGAGAAAGCCCTAAAATCTTTCAGATGTCCTGCAAGCCAGTCCGTTTAAAAGGAATCCCGGTCCCCCTAGACGTGCGCTCGCCGGTAGATGTCCTGCAAGCCAGTCCGTTTAAAGGGAACCCCGGTCCCCCTAGACGTGCGCTCGCCGCTCATCTTCCAGGCAGAGAAGACGGAGGAGCCAAGCCCGTCTGTTGCAAACCACCGTTCCCCCCTCACCCCAAGGGCTCGCCCTCGTTTCCCGCTCGGCAAAGGAACTGCTGTGCTGGGGTCAAATTGGCACCTTTAAGCTTCAAGCTGGGTCTCGAAACTGCGTCGGGGGGGGGGCATCTTCCAAGGAGATCTTAGGGAAGTCAGGAAGTGGAAGAGGACCCCAGCCAGTTCAAACAGCCCACCTTCAAACTAGGTAACTAGGAAATCAGTTGCCTCTCTGCCCTCGGGGCGCGCTTCTTCTCCGGGCGCCTCGACATAAACGGGAACAAGACCGGCGGATTGCTTGGAAGAGCCGTCCAGCGTAGGATGGGGGAGATCAGAGGAGAGACCTCTCGGGATCGAGGCGCCTTAAAACTTCTCTTCCCTCCCCACCTCTTCCCTCCTCATCCTTGCGTACCCATCCATCTTCCCGCGAGCACCCACAGCCACCCAAAGGTGCAGTGCTACAGCCTGGAAAACAAGAGGAGAAGCGCGAGACCCAGCCCGATCGCCAGCAGAAAGAGAGAAGCACCCCCCCCCATCGGACACAGAGAGGGGGAGAAACGTCAGGATCGCAGCCCTCCTTTTGCGCAGGCAAAACCGTCTGGAAAACAGCCCCAATTGGGGAGGGGAAGGAGGGGTAACAGATCCGGTGAAACGTAAGTCTGCATCTTGGCCCTCCAAGAGAGACCGGGGTTCCCGGGGACAGGGAGCGCCAAGCCGCCTGGAAGGGGCGGCCGCGGGGCAGCTCGTCCGGGTAGGGAGGGGGGGAGACTCACGCTTCTCTCGGAGGTGCCGGCCTGGGAGACGGTGCCGTTGAGCCCCACGAGCGACGGCAGCGTCTGGGACATCCAGTTGGTGACCATGGCCATGGTGCTGAGCACGGCGCCGATCTTCAGCAGCGGCACGGTCATCTCGCCCCCTGCCTCATGCCCCTCGCCCTCCGGCGAAGCCCGCGGCGCAGCCCTCCTCCCGGCTCAT